TAAGAAACTCTTATTATTTCCTATTAAAGTTTCAATATCGAGAGAGTTCAATTTTCAAGTGAAATATTGAAAATGTTTCATTTAAAGGAGTTGTATTTGAAGGGTTTTAGAAATAAAATTAATAAAAAATTAAAATAAAATTTACTTTACGCTCTGATTCGGCAAATTAAACTGGCTAGAACTGAACTAAACAGAACTAGAATTGAACTAGAAGTGAACTAGAACTGAACTAGTACTGAACTAGAACTGAACTAGAACTGAACTAAAACTGAACTAGAACTGTACTAGAACTGAACTAGAACTGAACTAGAACTGAACTAGAACTGAACTAGAACTGAACTAGAACTAAACTAGAACTGAACTAGAACTGAACTAGAACTGAACTAGAACTGAACTAGAACTGAACTAGAACTGTACTAGAACTGAACTAGAACTGAACTAGAACTGAACTAGAACTGAACTAGAACTGAACTAGAACTGAACTAGAACTGAACTAGAACTGAACTAGAACTGAACTAGAACTGAACTAGAACTGAACTAGAACTGAACTAGAACTGAACTAGAACTGAACTAGAACTGAACTAGAACTGAACTAGAACTGAACTAGAACTGAACTAGAACAGAACTAGAACTGAACTAGAACTGAACTAGAACTGAACTAGAACTAAACTAGAACTGAACTAGAACTGAACTAAAGCTGAACTGGAACAGTTCTAGATTTGAACTAGAACTGACTAGAACTAAACTGAACTAGAACTGAACTAGAACTGAACTATAACTGAACTATAACTGAACTATAACTGAACTAGAACTGAACTAGAACTGAACTAGAACTGAACTAGAACTAGAACTGAACTAGAACTGAACTAGAACTGAACTAGAACTGAACTAGAACTGAACTAGAACTGAACTAGAACTGAACTAGAACTGAACTAGAACTGAACTAGAACTGAACTAGAACTGAACTAGAACTGAACTAGAACTGAACTAGAACTGTACTAGAACTGAACTAGAACTGAACTAGAACTGAACTAGAACCGAACTAGAACTAGAACTGAACTAGAACTGAACTAAAACTGAACTAGAACTGAACTAAAACTGAACTAGAACTGAACTAGAACTGAACTAGAACTGAACTAGAACTGAACTAGAACTGAACTAGAACTGAACTAGAACTGAACTAGAACTGAACTAGAACTGAACTAGAACTGAACTAGAACTGAACTAGAACTGAACTAGAACTGAACTAGAACTGAACTAGAACTGAACTAGAACTGAACTAGAACTGAACTAGAACTGAACTAGAACTAAACTAGAACTAGAACTGAACTAGAACTGAACTAGAACTGAACTAGAACTGAACTAAAGCTGAACTGGAACAGTTCTAGATTTGAACTAGAACTGAACTAGAACTGAACTAGAACTGAACTAGAACTAGAACTGAACTAGAACTGAACTATAACTGAACTATAACGAACTAGAACTGAACTAGAACTGAACTAGAACTGAACTAGAAACTGAACTAGAACTGAACTAGAACTGAACTAGAACTGAACTAGAACTGAACTAGAACTGAACTAGAACTGAACTAGAACTGAACTAGAACTGAACTAGAACTGAACTAGAACTGAACTAGAACTGAACTAGAACTGACTAGAACTGAACTAGAACTGAACTAGAACTGAACTAGAACTGAACTAGAACTGAACTAGAACTGAACTAGAACTGAACTAGAACTGAACTAGAAAGAACTAGAACTGAACTAGAAATGAACTAGAACTAGAACTGAACTAGAACTGAACTAGAACTGAACTAGAAACTGAACTAGAACTGAACTAGAACTGAACTAGAACTGAACTAGAACGAACTAGAACTGAACTAGAACTGAACTAGAACTGACTAGAACTGAACTAGAACTGAACTAGAACTGAACTAGAACTGACTAGAACTGAACTAGAACTGAACTAGAACTGACTAGAACTGACTAGAACTGAACTAGAACTGAACTAGAACTGAACTAGAACTGAACTAGAACTGAACTAGAACTGAACTAGAACTGAACTAGAACTGAACTAGAACTGAACTAGAACTGAACTAGAACTAAACTAGAACTGAACTAGAACTGAACTAGATCTAAACTAGAACTGAACTAGATCTAAACTAGAACTGAACTAGATCTAAACTAGAACTGAACTAGATCTAAACTAGAACTGAACTATAACTTATTTAAAAATTTACATTATTTACCATTTAATATCATGAGAAATTTGTTAATAAACCATTTTTTTTAATAATTGAAATAAAAACAAAAAGAAAAGAAAAGTTAAAAAAATTATTTTGACAAGAGATCATTAATTGTTACAACAAAAAAATCAAATTTTATTATTAATATATAATGAGAATTTCAGTATTTCATATTAAATTAAAATCATTTTTAATAATTTTATAACACAAAAATCTATAACAAAATTTTTAAAGAGATCAAAGAAAAAACAAAATTTAATAAATACAACTCCTTTAAAAAAATAATAAACATTATCCTAAACCGTAAAGATTTAGTCTGCGTAATCATTTAAATTTTGTTTTTTTTTTTTTACTTAAATATTACAAAAAAGTTTTCAATTTCCAGTTGTAAAACAAAAAAAGTGAAGAATTTTGTTTTATATTTTTAGATGTAAAAAGGAAATTTTTTGTTTTAATTATAAAATTTATATTAACAAAAATATTTTATTTGATTTTAATAGAAAATTATTTAATAATAAACTGAAAACTATTTAAAATTGTTTTTATTGTATTTTAAAGTTTATTATTATTTTAATTGGTAGACTTTTTCTATTTCAGTTTTGTATATTGTTCAAAATTGTATTGAATTTGTTATTCGTTTCGTTTCGTGTTGGTTTTTTAAAAAAATATATTTATATGTTTATGTCTAAATAAAAATGTTTTTAATTTTATTTCTATTACACAGGTTGTTTGTTTGCTTCGTATTTTGTTATTTCTTTTAACTTTGCATAAAAAAATATTTTAACTTAATAACTAATTGCACGTTATTTGAAATTATTACAATTTGTTTTTATGTTTTTGTTGTATGTGCCTTAAATTAATTTTGTTGTTTAGTTTTTATATATAACAGCAAATAGAAACAATTTATAAAAATAAAAAAAAGGAAATCTTAAAAAATATAAATAAATTTTTAAACAAAATATTTACAAGATTTTCAAATGTTCTATAAGTATTTAGTAAAGTTGGTTGTGGTCGGAAAAAATGCTTTAAGGGAAACTGTTGAAAGTGAAAATATAATCAAATTTTGAAACGAAAGTTTCAAACCGTAAACCATTCAGTTTCGAAAGTAGAAAAATTTTCGAAAATTTCTAAGAAAATTACAAAATTTTCAAATTTCAAATATTTTTGACAAAATTTTCAAATTCCATAATTAATTACGAAATTTCGAACATTAGCTACAAAATTTTCATATATCGAAATTAAGTTCGAATTTTCGAACATTGAAAAATTTCATAATTTAAAGAAAAAATATTGAGTTTAATTAAAATTTTCCATATTTTTGAGAAAATCTCAAAATTTATCAATTTCGAAAATATGTTCAAAGTTTTATAAATTATAGCAAATTATAATTTTCAAAATTAAGTTCGAATTTTCGAACACTGAAAATTGTTATAAATTAAAGCAAAAAATATTGAAATGTATTAAAATTTTCAATATTTTTGAGAAAATCTCAAAATTCTTCATTTTCGAAACGAAAAAATTTCATAAATTAACTCAAAAACATTGAAAATTATTAAAAAATTTAATATTTCTTTGCGAAAGTTACACTATTTTCAAAATTTAGTTCGAATTTTCAAAAATTTTCATTTTCGAAAATAAGTTTCAGTTTTCGAACATTGAAAATTTTTATAAATTAATTCAAAAATATTGAAAATTATTAAAAGATTTAATGGATTTTTTCAGAAAATTCGAAGTTTTGAAAAATGTTTAGAAATTGGCCAAAAAATTTTAATTTCGAAATTATGTTCGAATTTTTATAAATTAACTCAAAATAACTTAAAATTATTAAAATGTTTACATTTTTTGAGAAAGTTGAAGAATTTTTAAATTTTGATATTAAGTTCGAATTTTCGAACAATGAAAAATATTGAAATTTATTACAATTTGCAATATTTATGAGAGAATCACAAAAATCTGCAATGATTTTCAATATTTTTGAGAAAATTACAAAAATGTTCAATTTCAAAATTAAGTTCGATTTATCCAAGATTGAAAATTTTCTTAAATTGACACAAAATCATTTAAAATTCTTAATATTTACTCAAATTTTCAAAAAATCATAAGTTTTCTAATTTCGAAATGAAATTCGAATTTTCGAACATTGAAAACTTTGATAAATTAAAGCAAAAATATTATTTATTAAAATTTTCAATATTTTTAAGAGAAACACAAAAATTTTCTTTTTTTTAAATTAAGTTCGAAATTTCGAACATTGATTTTTTTTAAGTAACGCAAAATTTTCAATATTTTTAGGAAAATTACAAAAAATCTTTATATTTTTGATAAATTCTAAAAAAATTTTCAATATTTTTTTGGAAAATTACAAAAATTTTCAATTTCGAAATTAAGTTCGAATTATCCAAGATTGAGAATATTCTTAAAATGACTTAAAATCATTTAAAATTCTTAATATTTACTCAAATTTTCAAAAAATCATAAATGTTCAAATTTCGAAATGAAGTTCGAATTTTCGAACATTGAAAATTTTGATAAATTAAAACAAAAATATTGTAGTTTATTCAAATTTTTAATATTTTTAAGAGAAACGCAAAAATTTTCTATTTTCGAAATTAAGTTTGAAATTTCGAACATTAAAAAAATTTTAAAATTAAGGCAAAAATATGGAAAATTATTAAAATTTTCAATATTTTTAAGAGAAACACTCAAATTTTCAATTTCGAAATTAAGTTCGAAATTTCGAATATTGAATTTTTTAGATTTCAAAGCAAAAATTTAAGCAAAATTCACATTTTAAGATATTTAAAGTAAATTTTTCAGAAGTTTCGAAAATAAAAGTGACAAATTTATCGAAAATTTAAAAATTAAAACAAGTTTCTTTTGTATTCTTTAAGAGAAAACATGTTTCCCTTAAATCTTGTTTTCTCCACTACAACCAACAATACTTAAAATAAAAATTTAAAAAAAAGAAAAGAAAATACTTAAAAAACAAACATGGGAGAGCACAAAACAAATAAACGTATAAATGTAACTTAAATGTAAATAGTAAAAATATTAGATTTATAAAACGACATATATTGAGAGAAATAAACCGCGATAACTTAAATAAAATAAATTAATAAATCTTGTTTTTTTTTTTTAACAAAATATTAAATAGTGAATACAAGATTGAAAGAAAAAAAAACCTAATAACTAATTTACATTTTTATGTATACAATAATTTAAGAATAATATTAATTAACATCAAAATTAAAACAAGCCAGAGAAAAATATTTTATATGTATATTTTATAAGTCTGTAATAATTAATATTTTCTTTTGAAAATTAACTAAACATTTTTCTCATTTTGTTTTACTCATGGTCACTTAATATATCACCCAAAATGCACCGACAATGATTTTTACAAAATCTTTTTTCTTCTTCTTTTTAAACTTTGCCTTGTTTACAAATATTTAAGTGTAAATGTATAAATGTCCAAGTATGGACCTTAGAGGCAAAATAATATAGAATTTTTTATGACAAAAAAAAAGAGATATAATAATATATTCTTATAAATCACTTTTCATAATATATAAATATATTACTTAAGTTATCAACATTTTTTTTTTAAAGATAAATCTTTTTCTTTAAGAGATTTATCATTATACATTACTTGACAAATGAAAACCAACAAAAACATAAACTGGGTTTTAAGGGGAATCACGGGTTTTTTTTAGGGAGATAAATTTATACGTACAAACAACAGCCAGCTGTAGCTTTAGTAGAAGAGATTATTTGTAATTTCTCTCTCAAGCACCACTTACTAATATAAATTTGATTTCACTGTTTACGTTTTCATTTGCAAAAAAAAAAATCATTTCATTCAAAAACTTACCCACTACAAAAATATGTATGAATGTTTGAAAATCAAACAAACAAATTAATCATTCAATCAAATTTTTAATTGAATGTTAAAACTACTACAGATTACTGCCGGGATAACTGCTAGCACCACCGCCTATAATGCTATCACCACCAATACTACTGCCACCTGCACCGCCAGCACCACTACTACTGCCATAGGAATGTGCTTGAGGCGGCGTTTGACTAGCTGCCATATCATTGACAGACATTAACGACGATGCCCCCGTTACAGCTATAGGTGCCGAGGTGGCCATGGGTGGTGTGGGCATTATCATTTCCTCTTGCAATTGTTGTTCCATTTCCTGTTGTTGACGCTCCAATTCCATTTGTTCTTTTAACTGTTGTGTTATCAGTTCTTTATTTTGATGCCAATACATGACCGGTATACTTAAGGTGGTGGTCAGTGTATCGTTGTGTTCCTCCAGCGAATTGGTGGCATAATGTTCCACTAATTTCTTGAGAGTATGATAGATATTGTAGGGTGCTGCAAAACCATAACCACTTTCGGTTTTATAAATAATACAGTGATTTATACAGTTTTTGCAGACAATCGATAAAGCGTAATGACCAGCAGAACGGGCGCGTATTAAAAAAGTACCAGTCGGTGCGCCGCAGAGTAATTCTTCGGCATCTTGTCGTGATATATCCTGTAGAAACCACATGGATTCATCGTTGTGCGGTTGTTTCGATACACTTTCGTAGCGTTGTTGCCAGGCCTCAAAACCCATTTCGATCAATTCTTTAATATCTTCGTCAGTTATGCCGAATTCTTTGAGACGTCTGTTAAGGGGAGAATAAACAAGAAAACAAATTTTAATAAAGTTTTGAAAAAATTTTATTTTTTTAATTTGCGCTTCATAAATCGTTTTTATAACTTTATTCAAAATATAGTTTAAAACTAGTGACCAAAGAATTTCACAATAATTTTAAACATTTCTTCAAAACTTCCTAAATGATGTCATACATTTTTACACAATAAAATTAAATTCTTACAATACTTACAATAATAAATATTGAGAAATATTTCTAAGAAATCAGAAAAGGACTCTTAATTAATATAAAAGTCCTTTTAACACTTTCCCAAACACTCGCACACTCACACACTTTTCTTTTAGCTAATATACATACGTACTTAAGCGTTGACCAACTTCAATTAAATCAAACAAAAGTTTTGCATTGTGATTAATTTGAGAAAATCGTGATTTCTTGTAAAAAAAAAAAAAATATCTTAACTGATCTGCCATATGTTGCTGATGTAGTTTTTCCTTTATGTTTTTTTTTTTTTTTTCTTCTTCTAAAATATTCTTTAAAAATAGAAACAATAAATCATCGTCTGATGATTATTTAATTCTAAGATAAAGTATATAGAGAGCGACAGAAAATTAAACAGCAAAAAGTCAGCTGCAGCCAACTTAAATATTAGAGAAATTAAACCAACTATGTTGCAGCAGTATTTGCACTAACTAGAAGACTGACAATTAGCCAGTCAGCTAGATGAATATACAATTTAAGGGTCAGAATACCAACTAACTAAACAACTGGCAGACAGGCAGGCGTTTTACTTGGTAACACTGCTATTGGCGAGGCAACCGAAACAGTGAAAAAAAAAAATAGCAAACAAATTCGTATAAAAACTCAACGACGACTAATAGTCTGTCGAAATTGCAATTTCTATTCTGTAATTCCTGGCCCTCCACCGTTTTCTTGTTCTTAAAGTTTTTTTTCACTTCTACTCGTTTTTGATCAATTTGTGGTTTTCAAATTGATCGACAGAAACATTTATTTATTGGTTTTTTTTTTCAGTTTTTATTAAGTAGCAATTTGTCAGTGAGTATTTTGTATTATTAACAATTCTATTGTTTATGTCATTTTAATATAAGGAGGCTTGTCATTTTTGTATAGAGCGTTTAAAAGAGAGACAGTAACAGCAGAAAACGTCAGTCTGCTCTTTTTTAATGGTTTACAAAAAAACTTGTACGTAACATTTTTTTTAATATAAATTCTTTGAAAATTATTTTTATAAATATGTATACCATGCATATACAGTGTTTAACAAAAGTAATGAGGATATCAAACTGTAATTTTAATATAAATTAATTTTGAATATTACTTTGAATTTTTAGTTGTATTCATGAATAATTAATGACTATTTGTTTATTTCAATAAAGTTTATAAAAATCAATATTTAATTACTAATTTATGCTTTTTTATTTTTGTTTTAAATAAATATTCTTTGATTTTCTCATTAAAAATTTGTTATGACAGATTACTATTAAAAGTCACTGTATTTTCTTTTCTATGTAAAAGTAAAATTATTATTAAAACTGAAATAAAAAAAATGTATCAATAAAGCTACGTGATTTTAAGCAAATGCAAAAAAGTGTGAACAGTGAAATACAGATAAAACTAACAAATATTAAATGACTTAGAAAAAGAGTTTAGAATGCTATCTATCTATCTATCTATCTATCTATCTATCTATCTATCTATCTATCTATCTATCTATCTATCTATCTATCTATCTATCTATCTATCTATCTATCTATCTATCTTCTATCTATCTATCTATCTATCTATCTATCTATCTATCTATCTATCTATCTATCTATCTATCTATCTATCTATCTATCTATCTATCTATCTATCTATCTATCTATCTATCTATCTATCTATCTATCTATCTATCTATCTATCTATCTATCTATCTATCTATCTATCTATCTATCTATCTATCTATCTATCTATCTATCTATCTATCTATCTATCTATCTATCTATCTATCTATCTATCTATCTATCTATCTATCTATCTATCTATCTATCTATATATCTATCTATCTATCTATCTATCTATCTATCTATCTATCTATCTATCTATCTATCTATCTATCTATCTATCTATCTATCTATCTATCTATCTATCTATCTATCTATCTATCTATCTATCTATCTATCTGTCTATCATCCACCTATCCACCTATCTCTTCAGTATATTTCCCATAGTTTAATGCATTTTTCTGAAAATTTCCTAAAGTTCAAACTTATCCGGTAAACACTGTAAAGTTTTGGTCATATATAAAGTCTGACCATATATTTCTTCACTGCAGCACCAACAATTATATACTCTACACACATATTTAATTGTTAGTTGCTAAATGTGACTCACCAATTAAGTACTGCAAGCAGCAGAACATGCTGAATATATCAGCCGAATAAAATAAAAATTGAAATCAAACAAATACATCAAACCGTCACCTTCAAAACTCAATTAGAAAAAAAAAAAAAAAACAGCAAACACGAGTGTAAGAAAGGGACCGAGAATAAAAGTGAATTTAATTGCTTTTATATGTAAGAAATTCAGGAAAAAAAAAACACTGTTCTATCTAGCTAGACAGAGCGACGACAATAATAAAAATGTTTATTTGGTTGATATTTTGACTGACTTGTTATATGAGCGATTTAATTTTTTCCAATACATAGAGTCTCACTTTAAGAAACTCTTGATATTGGTGGCGGTATACATAGGTTTATTGGTTGCTTTTGGTGGTTATGACGGTGCTAATGTGGTTGTGATGGTAATGCTGTGGTGTGGTCTGATGAAGAAATGTTTTTTTAAATGTCTATAATAAATAAATATTAAAAAGAAAAAATTGAAATAAATAAATAATTGTAACCTAGCGATAAAAGATTCCATTACATACAATATGAAAAATATTATGCAAGTTTCCCCCGATATGAATCGACGAATGGCAAACAGGGTTTTTAAATTAGAATTGTTAATTAAAGGTTTGTGCATTTTTTTGTTTGAAGGTGTAAACAAATTTTGTCTCTGTAGTTTTTATTTATATAATTAATTTCCTAGCTGCAGCTTGTTTTTAAATATTACAACATGGGTAACTTATAATATGATACATCCTTTAGTACATATGTATATATTGCTTACAAGTGGAGGAAACTTTCAGTATTGACATGAGTTTCGAAGTTTAAAAAAATTACAATTTCATAGAATTTTCATAAATGGACCATAGCAAACTAACCTTGTAAACCTACCTAAATTAGAAAATATATATATTTTATTTGAATAACACATCTTCAAATAGCACCTAGTGCTAAAATAAATTTGTTTTATTTAATTTTTTTCGCTAAGTTAATAATTTGATAAGTTAAAAAAATCTTTATATATTTTAAAGGGGGAAAGAAAATTGATAATGACATCACGTTGACATTTTTAATTGTGTAAGGGGTATGGGGGTAGACCACAAAGTTTAATAAATTACTGGTCTTTCGAATTTGAAATAATCATTTTGATAAAATAAAACAAATTAATAAATTTTAGGTTATTAAATTATCTTTATAGTGTTTTTTTATACTGAACACACTCAATTGATTTAATTTTTAATCTAAGCAGAAATGTGCACTTTTTTATCAGAAATTTCCATTTACTCTTGTGAGAAAAACTACACACTAGACTATAGACTAGAGTATAGACTAGACTATAGACTAGACTATAGACTAGACTATAGACTAGACTATAGACTAGACTATAGACTAGACTATAGACTAGACTATAGACTATACTATAGACTATACTATAGACTATACTATAGACTAGACTATAGACTAGACTATAGACTCGACTATAGGCTAGACTAGACTACTATAGACTAGACTATAGACTAGACTATAGACTAGACTATAGACTAGACTATAGACTAGACTATAGACTAGACTAGACTATAGACTAGACTATAGACTAGACTATAGACTAGACTATAGACTAGACTATAGACTAGACTATAGACTAAACTATAGACTAGACTATAGACTAACTATAGACTATAGACTAGACTATAGACTAGACTATAGACTAGACTATAGACTAGACTATAGACTAGACTATAGACTAGACTATAGACTAGACTATAGACTAGACTATAGACTAGACTATAGACTAGACTATAGACTAGACTATAGACTAGACTATAGACTAGACTATAGACTAGACTATAGACTAGACTATAGACTAGACTATAGACTAGACTATAGACTAGACTAGACTAGACTATAGACTAGACTATAGACTAGACTATAGACTAGACTATAGACTAGACTATAGACTAGACTATAGACTAGACTATAGACTAGACTATAGACTAGACTATAGACTAGACTATAGACTAGACTATAGACTAGACTATAGACTAGACTATAGACAGACTATAGACTAGACTATAGACTAGACTATAGACTAGACTATAGACTAGACTATAGACTAGACTATAGACTAGACTATAGACTAGACTATAGACTAGACTATAGACTAGACTATAGACTAGACTATAGACTAGACTATAGACTAGACTATAGACTAGACTATAGACTAGACTATAGACTAGACTATAGACTAGACTATAGACTAGACTATAGACTAGACTATAGACTAGACTATAGACTAGACTATAGACTAGACTATGACTAGACTATAGACTAGACTATAGACTAGACTATAGACTAGACTATAGACTAGACTATAGACTAGACTAGACTAGACTATAGACTAGACTATAGACTAGACTATAGACTACTAGACTAGACTTAGACTAGACTATAGACTAGACTATAGACTAGACTTTAGACTAGACTTTAGACTAGACTTTAGACTAGACTTTAGACTATACTATAGACTAGACTATAGACTAGACTATAGACTAGACTATAGACTAGACTAGACTAGACTAGACTATAGACTAGACTATAGACTAGACTATAGACTAGACTATA